CATATTCTCCAGATATTAACTCAATAGAATACATTTGGAACATTCTAGGTAGAAGGTTTTCTAGTCACTTATCACCCTCGGAAATAAATCAGAAGTTTGAAAGATGTTTTCTATATTAGTGGGACAGAATACCCCAGCCCTTCATAGATAACCTTAAAATTGATTGCAAGTCTCGTAGGTATGCGACATTACTTTCGGTCAAGGGAAAATATACCCCTTACTGAAACTCATTTGTATCCGGGATATTACCCTTTTTATTTGCTTGTATAATATGCATAAATTGTGCATTTTTTGTTTACCGACAAAAATATATTCAATAAAATATATTCAAAAATATATTCAATAAAATTTATTTATTCCTTATTCGTTGCCTCTTTCTTTTTTCATACCTTACAACACCAATACATCATAGTATATCAGTCACTCAAAACGTTTCCTTATCAACAGTTTATATGTAAAATCATAATATTCCCTAGTCTTTTTAGCAATGTATTATATGATCCATCACTAAACGCATTACTCCTCTAAAGCGTCGGAGATTCTTCTTCTTTTATCGATTGCAAACAGTTTTTTTAAACCATATATACTAACTCAAAATTTAAACTGATTCCATACTATACTGACACAAAATTTTTCATGCGACCTTTCGATATTTTACGACTTTTAGACTTTCCCGTTTAAATAAGTATAGATTTAGGTAATTTACGTTACTATAGATGTGTTTCATCTGGATTATAAATGCTTTCAGGACGGTGTTTTGTCTAATACTTAAGCCATTCATTTGACAACCATGTTTCTACAGCAGATAAATCACCATTTTTTTTTTCCTTCAGTATTAATATATTTTAACCAATGTCTTCTTCCATCGGATAAACCAGTCATATATCGCAACAAGATCAGCGTTTTCCATTTTTAAGGTTAATTTTTCAGCTTTCTTTCGCATCAGAGGACCACTGACTGTTAATCTTTTTCTCAAATATTTAAAAAAAAAAAAAAAAAAAAAAAAAACCCTTCAGTGCTTTCTGAACATAGTGACATATTCATTTCCTGTTTTTACTTTGATTTTCCTTTGATTTGCTAATAATACTTTTATTATTCTTTAAAACGTTGCTTAAGAAAGGCTGAGAAACATTTAACTTAAGAGCAGCATTCCGTTGATTACTTTTTAGGAGAAGTCATGGAAGTTTAATAACTCGACATTACCACTTAGGACTGTGATCATTACGGCTTTTATTGGTCTCCACAGTTTTAAAATTATAATAAGAGAATAAGAGTGATTTTATTAAAGATACAAAATAACTTAAAAAGCAACCTCATTTTATCTTAGATTCTTTTCGAAAATTCTTTTTTCTGGAGAAAGAAAAATTGTATAGAAATATTTTTTTATATTAAAGAAGAGGGACCTGTATCTGATTGGCCTCAAAATCCATATAGTTATTGAAAATCGACCCCAAACTAAGACTGTTTTTTCGCTTAATTTTAAATGGTTGATTGATATAAAAACTGAAGCTGTTTGTAGACTTAACACTTACTTGGTGACATTTCTCTGTTATTTTGAAATTCATACAGTTTATTTTGGCGTTTTTATTTGGCAACCTTCCTTCAGTTTAAAAGAATCATTGTGTGGTACTTAACCGAATTGTTGGTTACAATAGGCGGCGTATTTTTCATATTTTCGTACACAAACGGGTGGAAATTCTACAGTTTGATAATAAAATCCGAATGTTAACATTAAGCGACGTCTACTGTACATTCAGTTTCCTATATAATCAAGAGGCATTCATGTAATCTTTACGAAATGTTTTATACAGGTTGAGCCCTCACAAACTAGCACTGTTTTTTTATGTACACTGGTGTGCAAAAATTAAGGACGAATTCGAAAAATTAGCATATCAGCTGAACGAAGAGGCAGAGCGGACAGAAAGACCAATCAGGAGATTAAGTAAGGTGATGTACGGTAGCACATGCGCAGATATGCAGGTAGACGTAATGGGGGAGTGTCTGAGTAGTATAAAGCATGTTGTCGGTGTAAGATCAGTATTTCTGGCAAAGAGATTGCAAGCCGTATAGCAGTTAAAATCACACCGAGTTGCTGCCTCAGCGAGAAATGGCGAATAATCAATCTGTTAGACGACATCTGGATGCTTTTACCCGAGGTCGAATCATTGGGAAGTTGGAGGAAGGCCGCAGTGTGACATGTGTGGCTGCAGAGTTCGGAATTGCTCACAGCATCGTTTCACGACTTTTCAGACAATTTCAAACGGACGACGAAGACAATTTCAAACTACAGGAACAGCTATCCGGGGGTTTAGTAGTGGTCGTCCAAGAGGAACCACACCCGCAGATGACCGGTATATTGCCTTACAGGCCAGAAGAAACAGGCGGCAGACAGCGGGAGAAATCGCTAGACACACGACACAGGCGACTGGACGACCGATATCGCGTTTTACCGTGGCCAGAAGACTGCACGGTGGTGGTCTGTTTGCACGACGCCCTGTAGGGTGTGTACGTCTAACGCCTGCCCATCGGAGAAGGCGTTCTCTGTGGTGCCGGGAACACCGGAATTGGAGAGACAATGAATGGGGACGAGTACTCTTTACAGATGAGAGCAGATTTAGTCTGAGTAGCAATTCTCATCGCATACTCATCTGGAGAGAGCGGTAAAGCCGCAATCATCCCTCGAACATCATTGAAAGGGACAGGTATGGAGTTGGCGGTGTTCTCGTTTGGGGAGGCATCATGCTTGGTAGTCGTAGAGACCTTCACATCTTAGACGCAGGTTCAGTCAACGGGACCCGATATTGTAACGAGATTCTTCTTCCATATGTGTGTCTTTTTAGAGGCGCTATGGGTTCGCAGTTCCTTTTCATGGACGACAATGCACCATGTCATCTCACAGTAGCTGCCGAACAGCTCTTAGAGAGTGAGGATATTGAACGTATGGATTGGCCGGCACGATCTCCGGATCTCAATCCCTCGAGCATGTATGGGATTTTCTCGGCAGACGCTTGGCAGCTCGTACCTTACCACCAGTAACGATTCCGGAGCTTCTATTGGCGCTGCAAGAGGAATGGGCAGCAATGCCTCAACAACTCATTGACACCCTCATTCTCAGCATGGGCAGACGCTGTGAAACCTGCCTAGCAGTCAGGGAAGATCATATCCCCTATTAAAGACCGGATGTTTCTTGCTGGACACCCATCACAGGGATGTTTCGGCCTTCAGTCGCATTGTGCTCCATGCTGCTTTTTCAATAAAGCTTCTTTTTATCCCTCTGATTTCTCTTTTAGTAAGTGTTGCTTACATTACTCATGTCCTTACGTTTTGGGGATCTTACGGTATTAAATGTGTTGATTTGGAAAGCTTTTGTACAAAGTTATATTGAAGAAACCGCCTCGCCCTTAATTTTTGCACACCAGTGTATATTACCGTTACTATTAATTTTTTTTTAAATGAAAGTTGATCCAAAAGAGTGGATCAAAATGTTTTTAATCTTATGAGCACGTGAAAGTCATGATAGGATATTTTATAAAGTCATAAGATATTTTATATAGCTCTTACTATACATGCGAATCATTTTTAAATCAGCTTTCATATGTCAAAAATCAGGATTTATTATTGATTTTCACTGGATATTTTTCAATTAAAAAGTATTTTTAATGCAATTAGAAAGCATTTCATCCATTTTCATTCAATAAAAGAGAAAAATTCCATGCGTGACGTTACCGGTAATTACAAATATCTTAATTATGAGAAGTATTCTTCGCAAGATAATTAGATTAGTTACCTGTCTAATCTCAGAAAACTTTTTTTATTTTCGTGCTCTCCACGTAAATTAACAATTAATAAAAAAAACCTGAAAGCTTTTAGATTTGATATTACTCCCAAAGGGACGTCTTTAACGTTTTGTGTGTAACCTTTAGTTATTAAATATCCTGTTCTTTGCATTTAAATCATATAAAATTCAATTCAACAGCAAGATCACAAAATATTTAAAAACAGCATATCTTTAGAATTAGACAGTCTCGCGCGCTGGAGATATATATTTTTTTCCTTACAGTGTTGCCATTGCTCCGCTTTGAAATCGTTGCGTTTGTAAATAAAAAATTCTGTAAAATTTTATAAAATATGAAGTAGGTAATAAAACAAATTCGAAATTCAAAATGCGGGCTTCCAGGTGCCCATGTTAGGGTGGAAGATTATGTTATTCAAAATTTGATGGCTCTACGTTCTGTCGTTTTTTCACAATATGAAAAACATGCATACATTCCTGAAGATTCTTCATTATTTAATTTCTTTAAATATAATACAGGGCGATAATATTTAGTGGCAACAATTTAGATTCGCCGATTATAGTGAAACGCCACAAAATGCCGTTGAGACTAATAGCTCTTCTGGGATACCGCCCCTTTAGGCTAATAATATAAAATATAATCACTTAAATTTTGACGTGTCTGATAAAATTTAGATAATTACATTCACCTGTCGTATACATAAAATTCATAGTGATAAGACTTTATGTAAATTAATTTTGATATTATTAGCTTTCGTATAATTGTATCTTAAAAAGCCTGCCATTAAATAGCACCAAGTACCAAATGAAACTTGGTTCTTTTACAACCGCAATGAATGCATTCTAGACTGGCATATCACCCATTAAAAAAAAAATTAGGATGCTTACCCACTGTAGTATCACGCATTCAAAAATATCTCAACCGTCTGTTTAGACATATAAACTTGCGAAGCTATTGTCCGATTGTTTTGGATGGGGTCATCTAAGAACTATTCTACGTTTTTTCAGTTCTTACCTTGGCGCCATTACACGGCCTTGCTGTGTTGCCCCATTAGCTGAATATTATCAATTCAACATAAATCGTACCCTGACATTTACATTTCGATATTGCACCGGATATGGGTATGTGAAAATTAACCTAAATCACTTCGAAGCCAATCTTTGAAGGAATTATTCAAGTAAGTATATATAGCATAGTCACGATAGCAGTACGTTTAATTTTAACTGTACATTTCAAAGTAGAAACAACTGGTTAGGCTTAAAGATGAAAGCAGCGGTAAGTTTCGCTTTCTTTATCTGCGTTCATAGTTAAAACTACACTGTTAAATAACAAGTGGATTTTCTTAAAGAATTGTTTTTAATTAAATAATTAAACAGATATAAGCATCAAATATTTTAAAACTTCAAACTTTTAGACTGTAAGGGAATTTTTGAACTTCCCCCAATGTAGGACATGACTTTTTATTTTAAAAAAAAAAAATCCTTTACTTTCAGAAAGTTACTCTAAACAAAAACTCCTTCACTTTCCTGAAATAATTAAACGTTTCTCAAAACTTTTTTTTCTCTTCCTTTTGTAATGAGTACATTAATTTCGGTAAAGCCGTTGTTTGAATTTTCTTATTTACACCGATTTGTATAAAAAAAAATTTTTTTGACCTTTTCCAAAAAAAAAAAAAAAAAAAAAAATATTTTGTAGTTTTCAAAGAGACGAAATAGCTTGCCTAAACTTTTCATTAAATATTATCATTTCAGATATGTTGATGTAAAGGAAACTTGAATAGGAAATAATAATATGCCAATATACTATTTATATTTTAACTCTTTTATCATTAATAATTTTTATATTAATTTTTAATTTAAGTAAAATTTGAAGAGTAACGCAGGATATTTTAAGCTGCCAAATATTTGTTAAAATGCAACTATATTATAATTCACAAAACTAAAATAGAAATCAAATTAAGCAACGTAAGTTTATTAAAAGACAAGGAAAACCTTAAAAAGTATTATTAAACCTCAAAAAACATGTTGTATTATTACTGTTAGTTAAACAGGCTGTTAATTTATAAAATGGAGATTTCTTTTAATTGATAAAAATATTTTTAGCATTTTTAATAACTGCTGCAAGTATTTGTAATTTCATTTCATGAAGGGTAAAAACTTGTAAACACGTAAATATATTTTTTGTTCTAATTTTAATTACCGTTACAATACATATACTTCAAAATTCAATTCGAGAGAAGGGGGAGACACAAGCCATAATCCTTTCTCTATAATGGTTTTTGGAGAACTTCAGCGTGCTTGTCATAAAATTAGGAAATGCTTCTGTGTTGCTGTGACCGATCATTCCGCTTTGTCTAGTATCGAGCTAAAGGCGTAGGGGTAAAAAGAAGCCAGTATGGCGCCCGAAATACCTCCTATGACTTTAGGAAAAGTCATCTAGAAATTGTTATGATGTTTCTCATCGTAAATTAATGTCACATGGAGATTTTCAGTCATTTAATAAGGAAATAACTCAAATATTAAAAGCCTTTAGTTTATTTAAGTGGATTGCTTGCACACAAAGTTTGTAACAAACATTTCTAGCTGCAATACTATCTCACCAGGACACCAAATAATCATGAAAGGAATGCAAAAATATTTGGAAGAGGTTTTCTTCGAGGCATTCAATGAAAGCAAATAAATGGCAATAGATAAAAATAAATGTCCACTTTTCGATCAGCTCCGTTGAATAACCAAGGAAGCACTTCTTCTGCTGCCATCTAGTGGGAGAGTGTTAAGCTATATTTTTTAAGCGTTACTTAGATTTGCTTTTTTTTTTTTTTTATCCTGAGAATACAATAATATGTAGGTGTTGTCTCAGTGGATTAATTGTAGGGAAGGAGCTATCAGAAAGATTGTTTGAATATTTAAGACTGTGCGGAAGGGCGGCCTTAGTCTGGCATAGATTTTAAACAAAATTATATCGATTTCGTGAGGCTTCAGAATAATATTCCACAAAATATATTTATTATAAAAGATTTTATTGTATCCTGTTAAATGATATCTTTTTTACTATTTTTATTAAATATGAAGTATTTATTTCCTTAGTCATATTAGCAACGGCTATCTGACATCTACTTTCTTTCTCTCTATCCTTATCTCTTCCACTGCTTACATAATCCACTGCTTACTTAATTATCCACTGCTTACATAATTACAGCATATTCTATACCTTCACTTGCTCTCTTCTACAAAACATATGTAGCTGGAATCATATCGATTGTAAACAAATTTAAGAAAAATGAAAAAATTCGTTAACTCAGTAAATTTGTTATTAAAATAACTACTCAACTTGTTGATACATACCTTAATTTACTAAATTTCTTTAAGTTTTAACTATGCAAATATCATGTAAAGGTTTCTGATTTTGCTAATTAAAATTTAAAACTAACTGCTCTAATGGCCAGTATTTTTTGTTGTTTGAAGAAATTAGTCATAGAAGTTATACTTATTAATTATTACTACTGCTAATATTACAGTTAGTGTCAAGGGTCACAAGTTTTATATTAGCCAAGGACCTACACATTTCTTGATTCTTAGTTCTGATGTTTGTTTGTAGTGAAGAATATTTTCACACGCATCTTAGAAAAAGTATCAAAATGATATAATGGTAAATTGTAAACTTCCGATATGTAATATAAGTTCAATATAAAACATGACATTTTATTTCCGCAGAAATCATTCTGAAAATGTGTTAATTACAAGTCAGATGTAAATACTTCGTTAACTTTTATGATTAGATTATTGAGAGTTGCATGTATAGAACTTAAAATATAATTTAAAAACAGTTTAATAATTATTATTAAGATTTTATGACGATATATCTGGTCGCAAATGTTTCACATACTGCAGTGAATACTGCAACTAGAATAATTTTTTGGTCAAGAAAATAAATTACTTTCTTGAAATATTAATGTATTACAAAATCCTACAGTAATACTAACTTATTGATTCTCTTATTAATTATTAACTATTTTAATAATACACAGTTAATAAAATTTTACATTAATATTCAAATGCCGCTTTCTTTACGATGATATAAAAATAAATTATTACTTCATCATTAAGCATATATTTAAATATGTGGGACAGCTTAAGTTTGGGAAAACAAGAAAAAGAAACTTAGTTTTTCCATTATTAATTAAATTATAAAATAGTTCTTTCATTATTTTCAGGGAATAGAACTATCTATAATCAACTGACTTAAATCCGTTATTTCTTTCAACAATAGATGGCAGCACAGCGTACCTCACTATGTAGAATCGTATTTGAAAGGCGAGATTAGTTTAGTTTTTGAAAACAGAAGTATGCAAATCAACCGAAATTAACTATACGAAGTCTAACTTATAATATTTGCTAATATTTAAAGGTTATGAAATGGTTTCTACAAGTAATAATGAGTAATAGAGTTAAGAGTATAGGTGTAAGGATTAAGAAATACATGTAAAAGAACAGGGCTGGTTCTAAGCATAGATGACATATGCAGCCGCCTAGAGCGCTAGGTGAGTTGTTCTTTCAGACGTAACCAACGAGATATATACTGTTATATGAAGTCGTTGGATGTAACAGGTCACATTTTGCTTCCAGGTATTAATACGTTATATTTATAAGGGGTGTCAAATGTATGTATCGCATAAGGTGTCGAAAATACTGAATAGGAAACTGTGCAGGGTAGAAATTTTCAATTAGAGAGATTCAGGTAGTTTAAACGGGAAATTATGCAAAATGAAGGAATATGAAACACTAAAATAAAAGTATTTTGATGAAGAAAATGAAACAGTTCCAATGAAGAATTTAATAGGGTCAGTAAAAACTCTTATGTGTAAGGATGGGTTATGCTCACATGTACTTTTTAAAATCGAAATGGCAAAGAGTTTTCAAAGATTTCTTAAATACTGATTAAATCTCTTTTACTTCGTTAAAAACAAAAATTAATTTGGTGCAAGATATTAATTTTGAATAAAAACTGCAAATTAAATTAAATTAAATGTAAAATTTAATTAAATGCAAAACTTAAATTAAATGCAAAATTTCCAGGAATTCTACCTTTAAACTTCTCTTGTAATTTGTTTTTTAACGAATTTATTTATTTATTTTCGAATGTTTCTCAAAAACTTGTAGAAAACTTTCTTGATGAAAAAGTTTAAAAGTCGCTTTCGCAGACGTCGTATTTTTCTTTCTTTCTTTTTTAATCAGTTTTTAGTTCAAGGTTTTTATTGGTAAATAAATTATTCCGTTATTTAAAGAAATTAAAATTTCCTTCGTTTCAACATTGAATTTTTAACTTCCATTTTATTTTAACCAGGTATATAAACTCGTATATTATTTCCTTTCATGACAGCCTTCCCAAGTAGCACACGACGTTGCAAACTGGTCCGAGATGTTGCAAAGTGGTCGTTATAACTTTTACGACGTCTTTACAAAGAAGACGCAAAATATTTGCCGTTGTATCATGGCAATTTGTCGACGTCGTTGAAACGTCATGATATGACCGCTTTTAGACGTGGTCGTTTTAGCATCTTTTTCATAGTTCATCAGCGTTACTTTTAGAATGAAAAAGAGACTAAATCTTCCCTTTCAAGAATCTGGAAGTCTGCATAAGATTTATTTTGCGATGTTTCATTACTTTATTTCATCTAAATATATTAATCTAAGGTAGATTCATCTAATGAAATATTATAGGATTTAAAAAAAACACTTTTGTGCTATATTTTTATTAACATGTGAATGAATTTGATTCTAAAATTTTTACGAATATCTGCATAATTTCTTGCTACAATAAACTTAATTCCGTCGCCCAAATGTTTAAATTTTTAACATACTTCATAATAATTCCTTTCCTACAGTATGTAAGTAATTTGTTCATTAGGACCATTTGGTAAAATTTGAAATTTTTTTCTTATTTAAAAATAATGCGTAGTGCGATTAAATGCTTCAAATTAATTTTGTTATTAAAATTTTATATGAAATTTATTATTATTATTAATTTTATAGCATGAAATAGTTTTACAATTATTCCTTTTTGCACTCACCTTTCAAAATTTTTGATTAGAAAATTATTTTATGAAACTATAATATAATATTTTGCAAGTTCTTAAAAATAATTATTACCTTAAATAGTATTTATATCGGAAATTATATCCTTTTAGTGTAACATAAGTAAATAGATATAAAATGTAAAAGTAAATAAATATAAACCTGTAGTATTAGTGAAATTTTGCGAAATTTGGGCTAAAG